GTTCCTGCTTCCAGGTTCCTGCCATGTTTGAGTTTCTGTCCTGAGCTGAAGGAACAATGTAGAAGTACAATGTAGAAGAAGAAGCCAAACAAACCTTTTTCTCCCTAAGCTGCTTCAGTTGTGGGGTCATAACGTGTCACCAGAGCAATGATAACCCTAACTAAGACAAGGTAGAAATATACTTAGGAGAGGGGCAGAGGATTCTGAAGTTAGGAGGGGGACATTGGGACATCCTGGAGGAGTTGGGGGTGGATCTGATCAAAATGCATTGTATCAGATATAAAATTATCAAAGAATAAATTAAACAAAAAGAAACAACAAACACACCACAATACCATTTACTATATATTAGCATAAAAGACACGAAAAATGTGAGGTAAACACATATTTACATATGATAATAAAATTGAGGGTAACTTAGTCATCCTAATCTGAAAATAGGTCATAGAAATGAAGACGTTCACAAACATCACTTCCCATTTGAAAAATGAGTATGAATACAGTATAACTCTTCAGAGAATGCATAACTCCACAAAGCCCTTTTTTTTTTTTTTTTAAATCCATGATTTCCCTTTTCTACCATCCCTCTACAGTCTGTTTCATATCTGGTACAAACTATCTTGCCATCATTTCCAAAAGACCTGAGCATTTGGTCTTATCCTGCCTGTGGTGACTGAGATTGCGTTAACTTTTACACCTTACCAACAGAGAGGATCTTAGAAACAGAAAGTCACCTTGAATGTCCCCATGTTTTCATCTATACTACTTCCTACAACCTAACATGCTTAATCACTTCAGCTAGCAAACACTCAGAGGCATACAGACACACCACACACACACACACACACACACACACACACACACACCCCTTTTTTACTTGTCTCCCAAATGTCCTAAAACTAAAAAATGGCAGTGGCAACAGTCTGGAGGCTTCTTGCAGAAGCGTTCTAATCTTTGGGTAGCAGACCATTCAAACATACATGGTGCTCTTTGATTTGAAGGCATTGTGACATAGGTTCATGTTTTTAAACAACTGGTCTCCTTCCGGTGGTGCTGCCTGTGATGATTGTAGCTGTTTGCAACGGTTGTAGAGGTGGATGCTGAAGTCCCGCCAGACCTAGGCCTGAGCAGCCAGGAAGTGATTTCAAAGTCACAGTCGGTAGCTGAAGCAGGAATAGATTCAGATGCAGCACTGCTCCAACAATAAAACATTAGACTGGCGTAGAAACTACACAAAGCATACACACTGTACCAAAACAGTTACAGAATGTTCCATTGATATGCAAAGTCACAGCTAAAGAATCGAAACCCATGTTTAAAAAGATACTTGTTTTTTAGCCTTGATATTTCTGTATTTTAAATCTCCCTTATTGTTTAGTCTACAGATACAAAGTTACACCTTGCCATCTGTCCAAGGTATGTAATCCCCATTGGTGGGACATATGGAAAATGGAGTCTGCTTATTCCTACTGAAAAAAAAAATAAAATTATCTGATTCTTTTCTTACAATTTTCATGAAACAAATGAAGTGTTATTTACCCTTTTCAGGAGAAAGATAACAGAGACTCCTCAGAGATAGATGTATTAAGGATGAAGAAGGCTTACTCTCTGCCCCCTTTGAGCTAACAATGAGAAAATAAATCTCAAACAAAGGCAAATCTGACCTTTTTTCTTTTTTTTCTGTTCCATTTAAGCAGAGTCTTGAAGGCGTAGTTTTTGCTGGTAAAGAAATGCGGGTGGAAGGTAAAATTTAAAGATGGGCACCTTGTGGATACAGCCGCTAGAGAAAGAAGGAAACCTATGTGGGAGACTGCTGGAAAGCAACAGAAAAGATAGGGAGGACCATTGGGAGGCAAGTGTTCTAAAGACCTGAAATGCCAAACGTAGGATGTGTTATATCAACCAGATGTACGGATTGTCTGCAGGAGAATAAACAAGTTTAATAAACAACTCATTGTACAAAAGAACAAGGAGGGAAAGCCAAGAAATACAGATTCTATTTAAGGGAGTAGGGTTATTCAAGTGGTTATTCTAAAATATATCTATCCTGTAAGTTATTTAAGGTTTGGAATAAGAACAAAGAAAAACCAGGGGAAAAGGTAGTAAAATGTAATTTATCTTTCTTTGAAAATGAAGGCAAAGCCATGATAATATTTAACATGTAGACAACAGAAACACTGTTTCCAAATACAGAGACTAAGTCAGGCAGGAATGTATTCAGATAAGGGACAATGTTTGATGATATTTCAACCCACCAGGGTCTTTGGACTAAAGGGACTAATGAGGGGTAAAACCTGACTCCCTTTCAAAATCTGGTGAGATAGCTTAAGGTTAAGGGGAAATAGGAAGGTAATGTGTGTTTGATGACGAGAATCTGGTGAGCAGACTGTCTGAGAGTTAAGTACAAATTACAGACGGGGCTGTAGTAAATCCACTCTACATCTGGGACACTCTCCAGGGATGGGAGGGGAGAGCCTGGAGGGACTCAGTGAGAAGAGATGGCTGATGCTTGGTGTTGGAATTCATGGATTTTGAAAGAATTTTACATGAAAATTGTGAATAAGGCACAAGTTTTTGTTTTCTAAGTCATCTACTCACATTTCCATTATCACTCAAGCTCTTAATTTTTCCTGAACCATAAAGATGAGAATTTGTTTTAGTTAATTCATTTAACTAATCTTGTTTTGGGTAATTTGGAAATGACCAAGGCCACACTATTAAAATAGAACCTAAAATCCAAATAACAGCATTTAGAAAGAAAATGAAGTCAGACCTTTTATGACCGTGATGTCATAAACAGCATGGCTGGATAGGCTGAGGTATGTTGTGAGTGAGAGACAGTACGTGTCAAGATAAAGATTTTCTGCAGGATTTGGGAAGTATTGCCCAGAAGTTCAAAAGACAAGTCAGAACTGCAGTACCATATCTGAAGTCATTTTCAAAATAATTAACAGCCATGGCAGAGTTCACAACAAGAACCTGTGCACTGCAGAAATGGGCCAGAACCAAGAAAAGCCTCTGAACTCTTAAAAGCACTAGAAATTGGCAGTACATCCTTGAGCAAAGGCAAGGGCCAGTGAGAGGATTCAGCAAGTAAGGGCATTTGCCCACGAGCCTAGCAATATGAGTTCAATACCCACAATCCACGCAGTAGAAGGAGAGAATCAACGCCACAAAGTTGTCCTCTTACTTTCAATCCAAGCCTCTGCCAACTAAATAGATAACTGATTTTAAAATACAGACAAAATATAAAGAAATAAAAACCTGAAAGACATAGTACTCTCTTCTAAGTATCTTTTGAGAGAGAGAAGTTTGTTCTTTGTGAGCCCCTTATTCAGTGGGTAGCAGCCAAGTGGGAGTGAGAATTCTACTTCCAGACTATTGACTATATGAATATATCCCAGCCACAGTATTCAGAGGACACGGAAATGTTGCATGTTTTCATTGGGATGCACATGAAGATGCTGTCAGACAGCTTTCTATCTGGCACCATACCCATAGTTCTCACTGTTGGGGGAGTAAAGCGGACGATGAGCGGAAGTGGGTGGCAGTATTTGAGACTTAACAGCTTTGCAGCTCTGACAGAAGCGATATTCACAGAGTTTGAATTGTGAGGAACATATATTGCCTTTGCTCCCTTCCTTGACAGACACAAGATGGCTTTTGATTAAAGCATAATTAAATTACGAAGCAGAAATCATATTCACAGCGAGCCCTCTCTGTGAGGTTTGCTGCAGTGTGTCTTGTGTCGAGTCTTCTAGAACCTTGCTCTCCCTGAGGAGACCTGGAAGTTGTTTAGCATCCAGTCACATTTCATGAGTCCAACGGCTTTTCATTGTACATAGTACATAGTCCTCATAGTACAGGACACAAGAATTCTGTTCATAAAGCATGCAAATTGATGTGAGTGATTATGTATTTGTTTGCAAGTACTACATTCATAGTTCTGTGATTTTATATTATCACTCTTCTCATTTCTTCATAAGAGAAACAAAGAATCATACTAACTGGGGTATCAGTCTTAAACTTCAGTTACTCCTCAGACTTTATTTCCGATAGAAAAAAAGTAACACAGTACAAAGGTCCATCACTGGATCCATGGGGCTTCTCTCTGGATACCTGTAGTAGTCTGCACTCAAGAAATTTCCCCATAATGAATGTTATCCTGGGAGGAAAGGTATTCTGCAAAATAGTTACTAACTCAGAACTATGAGTTAAGCATAGTTCTCATCTGTATTATGGAGTCGTGACTGACTTTACCAGTTTCACTCCCCAGATACTAATTTCTACTTGGCAGTACAAAGTCAAACAGATCAACCAGACTTCCATGTCTGAGATGGAGAGTGCTATTAGCAATATGCAAAATTCTACATCTGACATTATCATGCCAACCTTATACTTACTTTTTTCAACAACTTTATATTTAACACTTCCATGAGAAAGAGACTAGAAGAATATGTTTAAAGGACCGATTCCAAATTCTGAATAATATTTTAGAAATGCTGACATTCAGCACTTAATTCTGGTTATATTTTCAAAGTACAGATATTAGTGAAAACAAATTTAAAAGTGAAGGTGTATCAAAAAGAGACATACTAAGTTATTTATAAAAGTCGGCACATCAAAAAAATAAAAGCATGAGATTTTCATTGGAAACTCTAAAATCAGGAAAAGCACAGTAGGATGTATTTCAAGTTCTGAAAGATCACACCTGCCAACCCAGACTACTATACCTAGCAAATTATAAACTCAAAACAAATCTTTTTGTGGCAGAAAGAAATTTATATTCAATTAACCCTGCAAAATGCAATTGGACATAAATATAAAACAGAAGAGAATGATAAACACATACAAGAATATATAGAGGAAAAAAGATGCTAAGATATGTGTTAAGCAGATGAATACTAAGAAAATACTAAACACTGTAAAAACAGAAAAATGACAGGAATTAATATGTAAGAACTATGATTATCACTGAACTCAACTCTTTTTTTTTCAACTGACAAATGCAAAACAGTTCTTTATTACTACAGCATATAAAATATTTATAAGTAAACATGTAACACAGTTCAAGTTTAGAGGAATCTTCTTCATACAGATATACAGAAATGTCTGGTTGTTCGTGCCTAGTATATAATCTTAGTATTCTTCTGTACCTCAGTGAACAGTAAAGGAAAGGCAGTCTGAATGCCAGTAATACATTTAGACATTGATGGTACTTACAGACAGATCACTGTCAGAGTTTCGATTTAGTTTATTTCCCTTTAGAGAGAAACTGGATTTTACCCTGGGCATCAGGCTCAACCCTAACGTCTGGTGATGTTCACAGCAGCTTTGAAAACGCTCTAAACGGCCATTTCCATTTTAATCGCTGGGTGTGGATTATAACCTTCAATCTGAAAGTCTTCAACCTTGAAATCATCAATCGTCTCAACTTTCCGAAGAATTTTGAGTTTTGGGAAAGGTCTTGGCTCTCGCTGAAGCTGAATTTTCAGGGGCTCGATGTGATTCAGGTAAATATGTGCATCTCCCAAGGTATGGACAAAATCCCCTGGCTTTAGGCCTGTGATGTGTGCAATCATGTAGGTGAGCAGTGCATAGCTGGCAATGTTGAAGGGCACGCCCAGGCCCATATCTCCTGACCTCTGGTAGAGCTGGCAAGACAGCTCCCCATTCACTACATAGAATTGACAGAGGGCATGGCAAGGAGGCAGTGCCATCAGGGGAAGATCTTTTGGGTTCCAGGCACACATGATGATTCTTCTGTCATCAGGCTTGGCTTTGATAGTGTCAATCACTTTTTGCAGCTGGTCTACTCCTTGACCCGAGTAATCTGAATCCATATCTTTGTAGTCTGCGCCAAAATGTCTCCACTGGAAACCATAAACTGGGCCCAGGTCCCCTTCCTGTCGTGCAGAGAAGCCCAGGCTGTCCAGAAAATCTCGGGACCCATTGGCATCCCAGATTCTCACTCCTTTGGAGGACAGTTCTTTAGCATTTGTGGATCCCTTGATAAACCACAGCAACTCCTCCAAAACACCCTTCCAGAACACTCGTTTGGTTGTGAGCAGAGGAAATTCATCTCTCAGGTTGTATCGCGCCTGCATGCCGAACACCGACAAGGTGCCGGTGCCCGTGCGGTCCTCCTTCTTGAAACCGCAGCGCATAATGTACTCCACCTGCCCCAGATACTGCAGCTCCCCGTGCCGCGCCCTGCTGCTGAGCGGCGGGCTGCAGTTTCAGCTCGGAGCCCGCGACCGGCATTGCGGACAGTTAGAAGAGGTGTAGTAGGCGCCTGAACTCAACTCTTGAATCAAAAGATACATACTAGAAGACTAGATCAGAAAATCGGTGGCATCTTTTTGTTTCCCAAGAAATTGGAACCAGAAACAAGCAGGAAGTCACTATCCTGATAGCCGAAAATCTTCAAACAAAGACTGGTCAATGGTGCGGGAGAATTATCTGTATTCTGTCAATCATGTATTTTAATAAAACGCTGATTGGCCAGGCAGGAAGTATAGGTGGGTCAACCAGACAGGAAGTAGAGGCGGGGCGATGAGAATAGGAGAAGGCTAGGGAAGAGGAAACTTCCTCAGCCACTCCTGCGCAGACCACCGAAGAGGCAATATGTAAGCTGTCACACTGAGAAAGGTACTGAGCCCGTGTGGCTAACATAGATCAGAATAATGGGTTAAGATAAGTCATAAGAACTAATAAGTAGCCTGACCTAATGGACCAATCAACTTTATAATCTTATGGAGTCCTGTGTGTGATTTCTCTTTGGGATTTGCCAGCTGTGGGGTACCAGGCGGGACAGAAACCCCAACAAGCCGGCCCCCTCATGTTACAGGTCAGAAGATATAAAGACCACTTCATACTGATTTAGGGAATAATCCTTCAAGAGTGCAAATATATACGTATCAAACATAAGTGGGCCCAATTTCAGAAAGAAAATACTACTAGATTCTATATCACCAATTAACCCCAATACAGTAATAGTAGGTGGCTTCAGTTTCTCTTTCCCAACAAGAAACAGGTCATCCAGGCAAAAATTAAGAAAGACACAACAGGATCACATGACAACATAAAGTAAATGGACTTAACAGACATCTCCACCTAAACACTACAGAGTACATATTGTTTTCAGCATTCCCATGGGCATGCTCTAAGATGGATCACATATTAAAACAAAAAAGCAAATAAAAAAATTTCTTCTGTCTACCTATATGTATGTCTGTGTGAAGGTAACATATCTCCTGGAACTAAAGATGCAGACAGTTGTGAGCTGCCATGTGGGTGCTGGGGATTGAACTCAGCTCCTCTAGAAGAACAGTTAGTGCTCTTAACCACTCATGAGCCATCTCCCCAATCCCACAATAATTTAGTCCATATTTCTAGAATAAGATTACTTTTTTCTGTAGAAGGGATTTCTTTAAATGGCCAGTTCCCAAATATTAACACAGAAACTTGATATTAATTACGAATGGTTGGCCTTAGCTTAGGCTTGTTCCCAGCTAGTTCTTATAACTCAAATTAACCCATTTATATTAATCGACACTCTGCCCTGTGGCTCATTACGTCTCCTCCACTCAGTATGCCCTACTCCCTCTGTATCTCGCTGGCTAAATCCCATGTGCCTCAGATTCTTTACGAGTTCCTCTCTCTCCCCAGAAGTCCTGCCTATTCTGTCCTGCCTAGATATTGGCCACTCAGCTCCTTATTAAACCAGTCAGAAGACACCTGAGGCAGAGACACATCTTTACAATGTACACACAGATTATCTCTCGGCAGTCTTCCCATAGTAAAAAGTTGTCTTGAGGTGCTGTTAGCTAAGCAACGGGAGGAAAACAAGAAAACTTTTGATTGTCTGTTGGAGCCACTTATATTAAGCGCTGCTCATCAGATAAGTATAATAGGATTTTAAAAATACATCTTTGTTTCTTAAGAAAGACATTTACACAATTTTAACTGAAGCTACCATCAAAACAAACCATAAACAACAAGAGAGAAACAATGACTATTTTATAAAAATAACACGGAAATCCTAGCACTTAAAGAGGAGTATTTTCCTTCTCAAATTCTGCAGGCTTTGTGCTCAGCCCAGTGCTTCTCAAAACCATCTGCTTCCCTCACAGATGACTCTCATTGGTGAACTCAAGGCAATGTTTCCCGTGAGGAGCGGAGACTAAAACTACTCACTGAGCAGCAGCACCAAATTTCAATCCACCAAAGTCCTTCCGAAAGGCCGATGGATGAGAGGCCAAAAATGCCAAGCGCTCCTAAAATTAAAGACTTCACTCATATATTCAACCCAAGCAAGAGCAACAAAACCAGTGCTTGCTTTAACTGTCACTGTAGAGAAAGGAAGTGTGCTACAGTACAATTTCCAGCACAGGCAGGAAAAGGACAGGAATGGTCATCTCAGTGGGTAAGCACCCTATGTCACACCCAAGAAGAGTCATTTCTAAATGTTATTCATGGCATGACTCATGGAGAGAGAGAGAGAGAGAGAGAGAGAGAGAGAGAGAGAGAGAGAGAGAAAAGAAAGAAAGAGAGAGAGAGAGAGAGAGAAAAGAAAGAAAGAGAGAGAGAGAGAGAGAAAGAAAGAAAGAAAGAAAGAAAGAAAGAAAGAAAGAAAGAAAGAAACCTAAGCCGTGAGCTTTGCAGCCAACTTTGGTTGAACTTGAACAAGACAGAAATTTCAAAATGTGGATTATCTTCACCTGCTGTCAATTTACCAAGACCAGAGGTAGGTAGTTAAACAAGTCTAAGATAAAAAGTTAGATGTCAGGTTAATCCCGCACATACCACCTATTATGTGCACATGATAAAAAGCAACCTGGAAGTAATGTCCTAAAGGTGCTGGTATCACATGATTATATTTTCAATTCTCTTTTTGAATTAATGTAATTGAATAATAATAATTGATACCCATAAAACTGTATATCATGCATATAAATATTGCATATATTAATACATTTTTATAAACATATATATGTATGTGTATGGTACACACATATAAGTACATTATTTGTATATATTCTTTTTTTACACACATACACACAGTTAATTGGTTTTATTTGCTCCACATATGAATTTTAGTATACCTCCCTTTAAAGATGCTAGATAATTTTGTTTGTAATTTTTCCAAATTTTTGAGTTGCATCACTAAAGTCATTTACTTTTGCTCCTTCTGATTTCTTAATACAAGCACTTAGAACTAATATTTTCCTGGTATGGTTGTTTTCAATGTGTCCCAAAGTCTGTGTTGTGTTGTGTTTTTTTTTATTTCGTTGCAGTTTTTTATTTCTTTCTTGATTTCTTCTTTGACCCATTCCTTATCAAGTAATGAGTTGTTCGATTTCTATGAATTTGTATACTTATGAGAGATTTTTAGTTTTATTACAATGTAGTCAGATAAGACACAAAGAGTTATTATGTAAAGATTTGTTTCATGCCTCAGAATGTGGTTTTGTTTCAGTAGAATGTGTATTTTTTGGTATTTGCACGGGATATTCTGGAGACATCTGTTAAGTCTATTTGATGTATTTCGTTATGTCATTTAATTCTAATGCTTTGTTGCTTATCTTTTTGTCCAGATGACCTGCTTATTGGAGAAAGTGTATTGACATCACCTACTATTAGTAAGTTAATGTTAATCTGTCTTTAAATCCAGTAGTACATATTTTTATATACAGTTGGGCACCCCACAGTTTGGTGCATCTGTGTATAGAACAGCAATGTCTTCATTGTTAACTGTCCCCTTTTGATTAGTTTTAATTTGAAGTTTATTTTGTCAGCTATTGGGATAGTGATGTCTGCTTGCATCCTAGTCTCATTTAATTGGAATATGCTTATCCACCCTTTAACTCAAGTTAAAGGTTTAAGTGCTTCTTGTGGGCAATAGACAAGTGGATTTTGTTTTGTAATCCATTCACTCAGCCTGTGTCCTTTGATTGGAGAATTGAGGCCACCAATAATTAATTAAAGTTTTATTGTTACAACATGTGTTTTGATTACAGTCATTGTGTTGCCTTTTTTATTTGATTGTTTTCACTGTGACACTTGGTGTTGTAGTAATTAATGACTTTTTCCCCACAGTCTCTTGGCTTGCTCATTCCTCTCTTCAAGCTGAAATATTGTTTCCTGCATTTCCTCTAGGTTTAGTTTGTTGGCTATAAACAATACTCTGTTTTTAATCACAGGAAGTTCATCCTACTCCTTCAATTGTGGTGGATGACCTTGCTGAGTATCTCACTCTAAGATGGCCCTCATGGTCTGTTAAGACTTTGAACGAATTGCTCCAGGCTCTTCTTGCTTTTAAAGCTTCCGACAAGAAATGGGCTGTTATTCTGACAGATTTTCTTTTATATATGAGTTGGATTTTTCTCTCTCTCTCAGCCTTCAATATACTTTCAGTACAGCTAAGCACACCCCAAGATGTGTCTGCTATCTTTTCTTTGAAAGTGAACATAGGAAAATACTCCTTACCTGAGCACACTTAGGAATTGGCACATCCTGTATGGACATGCCTGAATACGACCCCATGTGTTTCCTTCGTTTAAGGAGAGTACAGCCTTGGAAATGACCCGTGTTCTCCTTGCTTGTTGAGGGTAATAAAGTTTTCTCCACTCCTTTGTGTCTTCTGTTCTTATTTGCATTGGGTTACAGTTGTGTTTGAACTTCATCATGGAGAAGGCCACTTATGCGCTGAGGATCCAGAGTGGTAACCCATCAGTAGCCATTATGCCTGGAAGCTGGCCCAAACCAAGTTAGGACTTAAAGAAGGATGGAGTGTAAGGAATGTTGTACCCAGGTCAATTTTGAGGAGGCCCAGTATAAGTCATGCATGTGGTCACCGGAGTCTGGTGCAACTGGAGAGTTGAAGTGCTTGATGTTTTCGATGGAGACCACCACCAATACCAGAGTAAGAATCCAGGTCCATGCCACGGGGAAACTGAACAGCCAGGGTCTGTGGAATATTCAAGCAACAGAGTAGTTGCAGGCTGAAGCCTTCCACGCTCGAACCTCTGACAGACATCATCTGCTGATTGAGAAGGATGAGATTTGTAGGCTTCCTGCTCGCAACCTTGCTGGCTGGGGTCCCTCCTAGTGTTCACACAGTGTTCTTGTTTAGAAGAGAACCAGGGGGTGAGAAGAACAGATTCAAATACTGGGGATTTTGAATAGATTTGATGGCGAGTAGATGAAAGAAATTTAATCTTAATTGGTTTTGTCTTGATGATAATAAATCCAACAAGATAAGAAAGTCTGAGAATTGAAAATAATATAAA